AAATGAATGAATTTACCAGTTATTGGAAAAGCAGATCAACAGACAAAAAGTAAACATATTTGTGTTATATATATACACATATATATTTCAGATAAAATTTTTTAATGATGCCATTTATAGAAGCAAAATTCAAGACCTAAAAATAAATCTGTTGTCCTCATTTCTTTTCCTGTTCCTGCTATAAAATACCCTCAACAAAAGCAACTTAGGTAAGCTGCTGAGAAGAGGGAGCATCAGTTTTCTTTATATGGTGCCTAGCAGGCTAACCAGACTCCAAGGAATGGACCCACACCTCAGAGCATCTGAGGAACACAAATTAGACTCAATAGGCCTTTAAAAGACAGAAAAATACTAATAAACGGAAGTGTGGGAGTAGTTAAGGAAGGGTGGTAAGGGGAGAGGCAGTCTGAATATGATCAAAATACAGTATATAAAACTTTCACAGAATCAATACAAATATTATTTAGAAAAAGCAACTTAGAGGACAAAGGGTCACAATCCTTACTGCAGGAGTCCAGAGCAGAGAACAAGGAATTAACACTTGCATTCTAATGCTCAGCTGGGTCTCCTCCTCACTCTGTCCAAGCTCAGTCCAAGAACTGCTATCCCTTCCCCACCCACAACCCAACTCTCCTGATCTGTCATTTGGTGGGTTCTCCGACTTCAATTAACATAATTTAAATATCCCTCACAGACATGCGTACAAGCCAACTTAATCCAGACAATGCCTCACTGAGACTCTGTTCCCAGGTAACTCTAGAGTCTATCAAATTGAAGTTAAAATTAACTATCACATATTTCACTGAGAAGCAAAATAATTAGCAAGAAAATTTCTGTAAGTCTAAATAAATGGAGGAATATACCATATACAGAACTCTAAGGCTAATGCAAATATGCTGACTCTTCCAAAGTGATCTATAAAAATTCAAGGCAATCCTATTCAAACTCCCTCTGGGTGAATCCGCATAGAAACTGACATGCTTCTTCTAAACTTTAAGTGGATCTACAAAAGGTTAAGAAATACTTATATATGCAGTCACTGATTTATGACAAAGATACCCCTTAGTAGAATGGAAAAAACGTATTACCAATCCTCTCACTGTCCAAAAATTAATCTTGGCCCTCTATTTTACACCTGCAAAAAAATTAATCTTGACCTCTATCTTATATATTATACAAATTAATTTCCACATGGAGTGTAGACCTAAATGTAACATACTAAATATAAATCAATAAAGTCTTTAGGAAAAAAATATTGAAACATAACTTGACTTTAGGATGAGCAAAGATTTCACAGAAGACAAAAACGGTAGCAGTAAGGGAAAAATGACAAACTGGACAGCATAAAAATCTGTATGCTTTAAATATTAAACATTAAAATTTTTATCATCAAAAGAGACTACTGAGAAATTTAGGGGGACTGGAAAGATTGCTCAGTGGTTAGGAGCACTGGCTGCTCTTATAGAGGACCCACACCCACATGGCAGCTAACAACCATCTGTAACTCCATTTCCTGGGGATCTGATGTCCTTTTCTGACCTCCTTGGGCACTGTGCCACACACAGGTGAACTTACATACATGCAGGCAATACATTCAAACACATAAAATAAAAAATACAATTTTTTTTAATTTAGAAGGTAATCCAGAGTGGAAAATATATATTACATATATAGGTACCTACATATGTGTGTGTGCATGTGTATGTAAAAGATTTACATCTAAAACTTGTGAAGTACTTATACAAATCAGATAAGAAAAAAAACCCACAAATAACCCAATAAGAAGACATTTCCACTAACAGGCAGTAAGTATATATGAAGGTGTTCTGTGAGTAATTATCATGGACATCCTAAGACAAAATCGCAATGCAATACTCCCATATTCTGCAACATCAGAACAGCCAGAAAAAAAAAAGGCAATCTGAAGTACATACAAAAAAGCAGAAATTCTGGGGCTGGAGAGATGGCTCAGCAGTTAAGATCACTGGTTGCTCATGCAGAAGACCCAGGTTCAATTTCCAACACCCACATGGCAGCTACCCACCATCCGTACCCAGTTCCAGGGGAATTCAATGCACTCTTCTGACCTCCAAGGACACAGATACACTTAAGCACATGCAGGCAATACACTTATATACATAAAAAAATAATTAATAATAAAAGAAATTCTGAAATCAGTATTTACTACTAAAGGCAATTGTAAACAGTTACATTTTGCAAAACTGACAGCACCTAGAAAAATTAGCCTTAGACACAAAGATCCCACTCCTATTTTGCCAACAAAAATGAATAAATGTTCACTAAAAATATAAAGCAAAATATTCACAACAATGTAATTCATTAAATAGCCAAAAACTGCAAATCATCTAAATGCCTAAGAACGACAGTATACAATGTTGTACTACATCCACACAAAGGAAGATGACTCAACAAGAATGAACAAGGGCTGAGAGTACGGCTCACTAGTAGTGTTTACTTGACTTGACAGGGCCCTGAGTTGGATCATCAGCATGGGGGCAGGGTACAGAAGCAAACAAAACAAGCTACAGCACATTAAAAGAAGGCAGGCATAAACTGGAATGTGCTTATGGTTCTATTTATACAGAGTGTAAGAATAGGCAAATTCGTCTACAATGACAAAAATCAGAGATAGAATTCAGACTTCCTAAGACTCTCTTCCTCTCATCCCTGCCACAGTGGATGAAAGGATGAATGAAAAAGAACAGAAAGAACATTCTGAGGAAATGGAAATATTCCCTATCGAGACTAGGTAATCGTGTTAGTAGTGACATCTCCTTACACTGACTTGGACAGAAATAGACATTATATAGGCCATGAAAAGTGACAAGATGTCAAGGTTTGCGTGGAGTTAAGTCACAGATATTAACCTGAATTACTTCGGGAAAGGAAAGAGGAAAAAAAGAAAAGGGAAGACAATTTAAGTAAATTGTAATCCTTGATTAAAAGAAAAAAGTGATTTTTTGTGTTTGTTTTTTATTTCTTCTTTTTTTTTTTTTTTTTGTTTCTTCTACAGTTCAATATACAGTATCTTCAGCAACAGGGTCTTATCCTGAGTTTCTTGTGGGTAATCAAGAGCAGGTGCAATGGCCAGTATTGTTTGAGGGTCTATGGGACTTCTGGTTGACGACTTTGAAAGAGAGGGTCCATCCCTGACACTGGGGCTTTTACTTTGCTAGCTTATGGTGTTTAGTAGGGAAAATGTCCCCATATTATAAGGTAACTCCTTTTAATCTCCTTTTATAATATATATGTAAGATCCACCTGCCTCTGCCTCCTGAGTGCTGGGATTAAGGGCCTGTGCCACCACACCTGGATTTATTTATTATTTTTATGTGTATGAGTGTATTGCCTGCATGTATGTGAGTGCACTCAAGCCCTGCAATGCCGCAGAGGTCAGAAGACGGCTTTGGATTCCCCTGGAATTTTTTTAAGTAAATTATTTGCTAAGTATCAAAGTTTACTGTAAAAGTAAATATACAAATAAAGCTGATAAAGTAAACTACTATCTGAAGAAAAAAAAGCTCTCTAGACAAAAATGCACAAACAAGGATAGGGTGTGCATATGAAGTCCAAATGACAAGAATGAGGCATCACAGAAACAAACCTAAAGTGGACAAAACAAAATGAGCTGGAAATAACTCAGAGCAAGAACACCTGAACTTCTAGCAAAAGTGGTAAATCCACTGTCACAGAAGGAGATCTTAACATGCTCTTATCAACTTTTCTATCAATTCTCCATCTTCTTTCAGACTTCATCTTGAATCAGAAAAGAAGACACCATCTGGTTCCAAAGCACAGAACAAAGACTTGTTGCTTCCCATACTGTTATACACAAGCATACTGATCAAGGGGGAAATTCACAGCTCTTAGGTACAAATGGTCAGCCCAGGTGCATTCTAAACTCTGTAGATGTCAGGTAAGATGATCAACCTCTGAAAACACTGGTTCTAAGTAGCTTACTGCTGCCATCTGCTGGACCTAATACTGATAAGCACTTTGGTTATACTTTAAAATGGCCTCCTAATAAAGAACACAATGTCCTACACTGCCTGTCACCTTCATCCACTGAGCTGAAGACACTCTGTAAATTAAATACAATTAAATGCATGTCCTTGCTAAGCTTGTGAGACTTAAAAAGCCTGTAGTAACAATGTCTGGGCTTTCTATGCCACAGGATTACATGAGTATAGAAAATTATACTGCCTGAAATTCACTTAAAATGCAATATATCCACAAACTAATTTGATTTCATGAGAATTTCTATTTTCTATTCCAAATAATTACAGACATTTTAAACACACCATTTACATTTTATTCACGTAGCATTTTATCCATAGTTCTTGTAATAGCTCTTAAAATACCCATGTATAAATGCATAGCCGCTCTTCAGGTTCCCTAACTTTTCAGACACACAGGAAAATTACATCTCCTGTCCCCTTAATCCTTCGTAGGACCATATAAGTAATTCTGATCAACAGGCTGTGAGTGAAAGCACCAACTGCCACTTCCAGGCCAAACTAGGTACTGCAACAGTACTCTCTTCTACCAGGGTTGACAAGGGGCTTCAAATCAAGGTCAAGCCCTAAGACCAAAGCAGCTTAGGTCATTAACGGAAGCCATGTTAGAGAGCTGCCCAGACCTACAACAGACTTTGCAAGAGTAAGAACTTTTACTGTGTTAAGCCATACACAGTCAATGTTTAATAAGTATGCAAGCCTCACCAATGGTCCTAGCTCAACCCAACCAATACAGTATGTACAATGTATGGATATATAAAAAAAATTTGAGTATATGTGTGTATGCATATATTTAAGTCAAATGTCATCTATTCATGTTTTAGTTATATGTTTTATAGGCCAATTACAGACAGATACGAATTCCTAGTTCTCAAACTAGGAAAGTTAACTCATAAGGTAAAAAATGTATCAATGCCAGAAATCTCAAAAAAACTCCAAAGGGGCATATAAATCCATACATACTATGCTGTTCATTTCAGAGGACTCATAGCTGCCAACAGGATGCACATTTCCAATGGGTTCCAGGCCCTCTTCATCCCACATGTATGTTCCATCAGAGCTATCAGACGGAGAGAGCTCAAATGAAGAACCAGCTCTGTAATCCGTATCAGGTGAAATCAAGTTATTTCCGGAAGTATGTTTTGTACATTCACTCCTGTCTTCAAATGATTTAAAAAAAAAGTATGAATTTCCAAAATATATTATTTCTAAAATATACACTCTAAATAATATATAGCAAAATTTCGTTTAAAAAAGCATAGCTAAAATCCTAAACAAATAAAAACCTAGAAGCAAAATCTTAAAAATAGTGTACTGAAATATTTTGTAGTAAACATGAAGAAAACTCACTGTGTAACATTTCTTACATTCTCAGATCCCTATAATATTTCCCAAGATATTTACTTTTAACCACTATTCAGGAAACTCCCTTCTTCTCTGAAGGGCACTTAGCCTCCTTATAAGGGAAAAAAATTACTGTTGTAGGCATGCCTTTTATAAGAACTACAGACAAAGACGGTTTATGTGCATCATTACACATAACCTAGTCCTGTCCCTTGACTAGATCACATGCCTTGTACACTTCCTTCTGATGACTATTATGTCAGGATATATGAACAAACAATTAAGCTTCATCCTGTACTTAGTACCAATATAGTCAACTTTAAAATAAAATGTTTAATAGATGCCATCTAGCTTTCTTCAATAAAAAAAGCAAACAAAGCTGCTTTGGAAGTATCATTGTAAAGACCACTAAACAAGAAAACTTCCTAGGATAAAAGAGCATTAGACTGGACATAACCTCTATTATCTGATTTGCCATTGCCTTAGCTTTACTCTTCACAGACACCAATGATCTGCTATACTAAGTGAAGAGGCTGTTTAGTGGTATGCCACTGCTAGGTAAGGTGGGGAAAACCATCTGGGAAGTACTGCCTATACTATGCTAAGCAGGGATAGGTCTGTGTATGACAACCAAAGAAAAGCCAAGTTAGAACAGCTTTAACTGATTTTGTTCTAGACAAGATGAAACTAGGGCAGGGAACAAAAGCCAATACATGGATCTTATCCCAGGCCACTTTCACCTAGAGCCAGTCCAGTCCTTTTGGTGAAACTGGCAGCATTCTGGAATTTATCAGAAGATAATCCTAAATGTCAGCCCAGTTACAATGGAGAAAGAAAATAAATTATGGATATTCATATTTACCAGAGACATTTATATCTATCCATTCATCAGTTTTACTGAAGGCTTTTTCATTTTCCTTAGGAGAATCAAATATATCCTTTGATGGTCTGTTTTCATGCTTTTCTTCTTTGAGAGAAATTTCCTCCGGAGTTATTCTAGTTCGGTTGGAGTCTTCTATATCTATAAAATCATCACTGAAGTCTTCACTTAAATCATTCTTATCAGAAGATGACAAAGATGACAAAGAAATATCATCCACATCATCACTTAGGTATCTAATTTTAGCATCATGCTTCATGGTCTGATCCTTTTCTGTTCGATAATTTTTATTTTCAATTAGTTCTTGGTCCTTATTAACAGTGCTGTCCTTAGCCAGAACTGTAGTCTCTTCCTCTACACATGTGTCAGCAGGTGAATTTTTATTACCATCAACTGCAATGGCCCCAGGAAATGAAGGTAGGCTAGATTTCAGCAGAGAGGGATGAACCATCCTATAACCCAAAGTAGAAGTTATACCTGGGCCATTTGATAAAGCCAACTTCTTCCCACCAGCAGCATAAGGTCTATTAAATCCATAGCCCAAATGCTCATTCCCATTGAGAACTTCTGACTGCCGAGAATTTCTTGTTAGCATACTTGACCGAAGAGGCACTCTAATGGGTAGCTGTTGGTTCTGATAAGGCTTTGTAAGATCTACAGCTCTGTTGAAGGAATGTGATCTGGTTATAGATGAAGGAGGAAGGAAGGAATTCTGAATGGAATGGGAAAAACTTTGGGATCTTACCATCTTTTCACAAGTAATAGATTTACTATTGTCTGGGGATTGTGCTAAGCTTTCTCCAGAACTGCTTCTGGTAGCACAGGAGTTTGCTCTGGGCCTTTGCATGCTGCCAGTCGATCGGTTTCCATAAAATGTATTCAAACGGGACTTTGGAGCATTGACCGAAGAATAGGAAGTCCTTCCTAATAATGGGCCTTTGGTGAATTTCCCCAAATTAGATGGTCCAGAAAAGGATTTCTGATTTAACTCCTCTGTAGATGACACAAACATAGTAGTTGGCCTTGCTAGCTTTGATGGGAATAAAGATGCACTTTTCAACCCTCCCTTTATCCCATTCTTATCAAACGTTCCTTGAGCAGGAGCATGTTTTTCAGGATCAATTAATTTATCATGTGAGCTCTGAATATTGTTAAGGTCTGCAGGGGTTTGTGTACCAAGTTGGTATTTACTTGCTTTTCTCCAATTAAATGGATGGGACAGTGAAGAATCAGAGCCATTATTTTTTGTGTAGCTCTTGACAATACTACTCTTGGAAGTCCCTAATAAAGTCACGGTGGTCCCATTTGGCATCGGCTGCAGTGTACTTCTCACAGACTTTGTTCCATACTTTGGCAACTTGGAACCCAAAAATGTCTTGATTTGTGTTTTTTCTTCCATGAGCTATAAAGTGCATTTGTTCTTAAAATTTGACAGAATCTGAGGAGAGAAAAAAAGATAGATTAAACATTCCTAAATAAGCACAGTAAGTAACATAGATATATGAACATATATATTTATTAATTATATGCAGAAAATTCTAATCATTCGTGATTCCTATAGAACTCTTAACAAATATTGAATATACTAATTAATAAAGGTCAGGGAGAGAAGGGAGAGAAATGGAGGGGAGGGAGAAAAAAGGAAAAAGAGAAGTCAGAATGTACTTGTAATTCCAGACATGGGGAAGGGGAGATAGACAGGTCTTTGGGGCTCCCTGGCCAGTCAGCCTAGCATACTTGGTGAGCTCCAGACCAGTGACAGAAGTGGAAAAAAGGCAGACACAGCACCTGAGGGATGATACCCAAATTGTCCTCTGGCCTCCATATGCTTATACACACACACACACACACACACACACACACACACACACACACAATGGACAGAAAAAAGGATTTTATACTGTACACAATGACTCCTACTCTAAATACACTGCCTGGAAGCAGTAATAGGAGAGAGCTGAGCTAATAAAAACATTTTGGACCTGCAAAATGCCTCAGTGGGCAAAGGCACCTGCCTTCAAGCCTGAGGAGGTGAATTCAAACCCCAGGACCTTCATAGTGGAAGAAGAGCACCAACTCCCACAAGTTGTCCTCTGACCTCCATACACCTGCTATGGCATATGTATGTCTATATATACATATATGTGCACACAAATTAAATAAAATGGTTAAAATAATCTTAAAATTTGTAAGAAACACAGTCACAGTGGAAACTAAACTGTGTGAGGACCTGTCCTTGGTAGTGACTACCTTGAGCAATGTAGCAAGAGGATCCTGAGGTCAAAGCCAGATCCTGTAGTGGTGTCATAATCAAGCAGCAGCGTTTGCCATAAATATAAAAATGGACAGTAGAAATATCTAAGACAATTGCCTTCTCCCATTTTTTGTTTGTTTGTTTGTTTGTTTGTTTGAGACAAGGTCTCCCTATAGCCCCAGCTGACCTGGAATTCACTGTGTAGACCAGGCTGGCCTTGAACTCACAGAGATCCACCTGCCTCTGCCTCTTGAGTGCTGGGATTAAAGGCCCGTGCTACCGTGCCTGCCTCCTTTCCCCATTTTTATAGTGGCCTTTACCACAATATACTTCTGTATCACTTTTAGAATAGCTGTAAGAAAATTTGTAACAGTACCGCAAGACATAGGAGGATCATTGTATAATTACTAAATAATAGATATTACTAAACAATATATATTTAAGATACTGTCCCTTAGTGTTGGGCAAAAAGAGTACATCTCCCTGTCTGTTAGAAGGAGACTGAGAGGAAAACACCACATTCTTGTATTTCTCTTTTGCTTTACTTTTCGTCATAATACATGCTATCATCCAGCAACACCTGAAGATGTGCTCAAAAGCCAGACACAGTGTCACTGCCAAGTATCTGAGGTTCTTCCAGCTGGGAGGAAAATAATGCTAGAATCTGTATGAACTGCTTCCTACAACATATTTCTAAATGTATAAATAACTGCAACAAACATGGTGTCAATTATCTTGAGCAGTGGTTTTAGCATGAACCTATTCTGATATCTCAGTTGTAAATTTTCCATGTCTGCATATGTGTATGAAGCCTGCTATTTCATTGGTTGATAAGTTACCTTCTGTCTGAATGTTCAGGAAACTTTATCCAAAATTTGTTTATAACTCTGTAATGAAATATAACAAGTATGTTGATTCTCCCTCATTCAGCAGCTGTGTAGACTCTGATGCACTTTACCTGATATGCAACCATTTAAGTATTTAAAATGCAACCACTGAGTATTTTAAAAGGAATATGTTGGCTACATTATCTAATAATAAAATCTTTGAGCTACTTTAATAAATATTGTCTATGAGCTTTAATGGTGAACTAAGAATGACTGGTACAGAACTTGGAGATGTCTGAGACTTCCTGAGTTAGTTTCTATAATAAATTTTTTAATTTACATATTGACATAGCACATTTGAAAAAATTCTCAAACCTACATACAGCTCCTTTTTGTAAAACCAGAAAATGAAAGGTGGGCATAGTGGTACATGTCTTTAATCCCAGCACTCGAGAGGCAGAGGCAGGTGGATCTCTGTGAGTTCAAGGTCAGCCTGGTCTACACAGGGAGTTCCAGGCCAGCTAGGGCTGCAGGAGATGCTGTCTCAAAAAAAAAAAAAAAAAAAAAACTAATAAATCAAGTTTCTTGCCTGCAAGAAGAATCTACAGCTGATTATGAAGCAAGAAGCAGCAGCATATCCCTAAGACCCACACTTATACCTGGACCTTAATTCATCTCCATAACTTCATCTCCTCTCCATAGCTATACAGAGATTCAAAAACTAAAACACTGTCCATAAATTGCCACAGAGGATTTGGGTTCACATCTGACTCCAGGGCCATTCAGACTGCCTTCATGACAGAGGAATGAAGGATTCCGGAAGGCATAGGACAGTGAGAGACAAGAGTGAAGTAAGGGGATGCAGCAGTTAGAGAAGCACAAAGACTACAGAGCAAGCATCAGGCTCTGCAGAGGAACAGAATCCTCACATTTTCAAGCTCCTTTCATATCCATTACCTTCTCCCCCAAGGAGCTGCCCACTCACCTTCTTTATTTAGTTTTTCAAATAGCTTTTCAGAAGGTTATGAATTGCCTACATTTTAGGGATTTAAATAGGCATAGATTTGCCACTGAGTCTAAGCGCAATTAGCTGAACAACAATGTTAATGACTATACAGACTTAAGTAGTCACTTCTAAAACTTGCTTTCACATTAAGATAGCTACACCACAATTTAAAATGATTTGTTGTTTGTTTCTTGAATTTGTGTTACTCACTTACTTCCCCACACACACCCCCTTGCCCAGTTTTCTGGCTGTCATATGCAGCATAAGCTGATTCAAGGGCCTGATTATGGCAATTAAACAAAAAAAGGCACCTCCTGACAGAGTAGATTTAAAACAGTGAATTCCAGTCCAGATTTTTCCTTGTTTGTAAAGGGATAACAAAGTTCAATACAAAGCCCCATTATTATATCAACTTGACCTTTCCTGTCCCATTACAACTTATTTTTCAGTCAAATGCGATCAAAGCAACTTGTGAAAGTTAGGTTTGGAAGGAATCTGTGGTATAGGAACATTAAATAATCATATTCTTTAAAAAAAAAAAGGCAAAATAACAAAGACAGGGGTTGGGGATTTAGCTCAGTGGTAGAGCACTTGCCTAGCAAGCACAAGGCCCTGGGTTCGGTCCTCAGCTCAAAAAAAAAAGACAAAAAAATAATAATAATAATCATAGTGTGTGTAGATTCAAAGTGTATTACTTTCTAAATTTTTAATTTTAAGAACAGTGAAAATACCAGCACAGAAAGCAGAACTAGAGGCTCCCTGCCAATGCTTCCCTCCAAATGTTACCATTTAGTTCAGGAGCACACACTAACTACAGGGCTTGCAAACGCCATGACTATGCTGAGGGCTAAGGAAAGAAGCTGGTGCAGAACTGCTTGAATAATGATCAAGCCTAAGATGATACCTGAGTTGTTCATTATCTGAGTAAAATACAGACAAAATAACTAAACACAGACATTTTTAAACTCTAAGTGCTTATCAAATCACAAGATGCAACAGTTCAATACATTGGTCTTTATCAGGCCTGCTAGTACAAAGTTCCCTAAATTAAATGAGCAATAAGGTCAGGGTCATAAAAAGTTAAGTGTAGAAGAGAATAGTAACATGATTAAGATGGATGGGTGATTACTAGGATGTGAATTCACTAATGGCACACAGAGAGTAGATTTGATTTACCAATATATAAAACTCAACCAAGTTTGTTCTATTTATGACAGACAGCAATACTTATATATGAAACATTTTGGAAAGATAAAGTGGTGGTTAATCTTGTCAATTTGATAGAATCTGGAATCACCTAGGAGATTCACTTCTTGGCACATTTGTGAGAGTGTTTCCAGAGGGGATTAGCTGAGGGAGCAAGGCTCACCCTCAAAGTAGATGGCACCTTCTAGTGGGTGGCCTAGATATAAAGCAGTCCAAGGGAAAGAGTGTTGACCACCTGCCTTCATGTTTTCCTAAGTGTCTATCACTGCCGCTCTGCTCTCCCTGCCATCACACCCCAGTTTCCTCAGCCTTGCATTCTAGATCAAACAGCAGAGACTCTGCAAAGAACTTCCAAGCCTTCTGCACTAGACTGGGAATTCTAAGGCATTCAGCTTTGTGGACTGCAAAATTACAGACTTCTCAGCCTCTACAGCATAAGGACAGCTACTACTGGATACAGTAAGGATCCATTAATGTCACGTATCTGCCTATGCTTAGGATGTACAAATGACTATCAACTCCTACCTAAAAACCTAGAAGAGTCAGATACTACTCAAAACCAGAACATTCTGTCAGACCACCACAGTAAAGCACATAAAGCAAACTGCAAAGAGAACAGGCCCTAAAAAAGAGGTGACCACCACAAGGAGGAGCAATAAGCTAACACTTTAATGGATGCTTCCAAGTCAAAAGTGTGTCTGTTTGGAATAGCTAACTCTCCGTGGGCTTTAACGAACTGCTTTAGAGAAAGACATGAGAGAATGTCTATCAATGCCACAGCATCCACAAGGTGAGCAGAGGTTGCCCTAGTAGAAACACAAGTTTCTTGCTTTCCTGTATACTTCTTTCTTGGGAAGCAAAAGCCATAAACTGCTTTAAAAAATTAGAAAATAAAAAAAGGCAGCAAACCAGCATACCTCCAGGCCATATGAAAAATATTATTTCGTTTGGAGGAAACAGAATGTGAAAATTATTCAGTTGACCCATTTATGTAAGGGTAGAGTTGATTATAATGGAGATTAGAATGGAGCAGTGGGTTGACAGTGTATCAGAATCACATGGAGGGCTTTGCTAAACAAGAGCACTAGGTTTAACCCTCAGAGTTTGTGAGTTAAAGTCTAAGTTCTGGCCTTAGCAAAAGTACT